CCGGCTGGGCTTGAACCACGACATTAAGTTATGTAGCAATAATGTTATATTAATTTAATTTTCCTACTGTGATTTTGGCCGACAGATTTGGAAAATTGAGGAAGTTATTGCAGAAGTCCTGTATACATGACACATCAGAAGTGTAGCTTTCCATAAGTCATAGGGAAAACTTATTTTTCCTGTGGCTATTGCAACCAAATGGATAGGCCCTCCACCAAAATATGAACAATAGACGTAAGCTGTAGGGGAAAAGAAAAAAGCCTTTTGCTGTTGAAGCAGTCGAAGTTTTGATTCCAACTGAAAATTCAGTCATCACCTACCTGTCTTTTCCGCGTCTTAGTCCAACACAGGAACAAAGTATCTAACAGAGGATGTATCACAGGAGGCCACCTTGTTATGACTTCAGCGATTATTTCGTCTATTTCTCTTGAGTAACACGTATTTCACAGCTACTGTGAAATCTGGTGGGATAAAAATTAGCTGCGAAGGAAATTTTATAATAGATGGCACAAAATGATCTTTGAGTTGATCTTGCAATAGCGCCTGGAGCCACAGGATGGCACTGTCCTTAAATACACGGGAACCTCGCGGAGGGCAAAACCAAATTGGAAGCTCGAATCTGTTAAGCAGGAAAGTAGACTTTTTAAAAAAGATGATTAAGGAGTGGGGACAAGGGAAAACAAATGCATTTTTTCTTTTCTAAAGTTTTATTTCAGCATAGTTACTTCTGTGAAATATGTGTTGTAAAAGAAAGCTTTTCTCTGTGGTTATTTCTGTGAGATACGTAAGAGTTCTAGAAAAAATATCAATCTTGTCAGTTGTAATTGGATTCTATCATAAATAGTAACTTTTGCTCTATTTTGTAAGTTAAATGAGTTGTTGGTTCTGGACTCACTTGATCACTCTTTAGCAAACAACAGCCAGCCGCATAAAAGGGGAAATACAGTTTTTAGTGATGAACTGGCTCTGGTCCTTGCCCTTACTGGAAGAGATTATCCAAGAATAGGACTGTTGTTCTTGGATTTGAGTACTGCCAGTCAATCAAAAAATTGACATTTCAAAATTTGTTTCTTGTAGGCTGCTGTGCAATGGTAATTATGGATCAAATTTCCATATGATATTTTAAAAGGAAAATGCTTCTCATGATTAATGTCATTATATAAACTTATGCATGCATGCTACATGAGAAACTTGAAGATCTGAGCCTCCATAGGAAATATTCAGACACAAAGCATCTTTTGAAATGTCAGTCAAAACTGAAAGCAAATATTGTCCTCCTGTGCAAATAAATTTAGTAAGTAAAACTTTTTCAGTAATTGAAAGGCTTAGTATCTGCTTCCCTATGACTTCTGGCTCCTACATGTAAAGTTATATTTACAATTAAATTTTAAACTTTGCTTTTTGTTGTGTTATAGTGATTTTACAATAAATTGTTCTTCCAAACTGTTTACTGAAAAAGGAAGTGTGTGAAAGAAATGTGATTGTTAGACCACTAGCAAGCTTGGCAGGTATTCAGCCACAACCAAAGTTATTCTGTATCTTAGTTCAGTATCTTATTTATAAGTCACAGAGGATTTGCTAGTGCTCTGTGCAGCCATTATGTTGAATAATGTAGCTGCTGTGAATGCGAACGTGTTACTGGTGGAACAGTTTTTAAAGGTTATCATTCTGCCAGAATAACCAGTGCTCAGTCATTGTTCTCATCACCTTGCTACAAGCCATTGCTGTTAAAGTATCTTAAAATAGGGGCCTGAAAAGCACTTTTCACATCTGAACTTTCTGAAAGCAATCGAAGCTTCTAGATTTTTGAACCAGGTGAATTCACAGTCACACTTTGATACACACAGCTTCTAGCTAGCAGTCGCTTTTAAAGACCTAGTTGTTCTCTTGAAGTGAACAGTAGTAAAATTGCATTATAGAGCTACTGTATAATTTACTTTAAATAAAGTCAGGAAGTCTTTAGCATGCAGCTAGTTTTTAACTGAAGAGGTTTGCGTGGAAAATTCCGTATTTCTGTTGCAAAGTCATAAGTAATAAGCCAAAACAGTTCGACCTTTACAAGACACCATGTACATACATTTCCAACAGGTGCTTAATTTCAGTCTTTTAAGATTCTGTTCTTGTACTTTGTTTTAGGAAGAAAATATGACTGTAACAGAGGATTTTAGTAGAGTAGAAAATACTTACCAAATGGAAGCAGAGGTACGTATTCAACCTAACCAAAAATAATAACAAAAAAGGAATAAGAAATATAGCAAGTACCAAGGAAGACAGGCTGCAAAGCCTGTCTTTCCTCATACTGAGGACTAGGTGTTCTCTACAGTAAAGGCAGCACAGTCCAAAGAAACTATTGAGGATGGCAGTTTAAAGCAGATTTCAGCTGCTGTCTTCTGTCGTGTGTAGAAATTGTTTTCTGCTACTGTAATATAGAAAAAAAAAACCTTTTCTCAGATGAATGTGTGCTTTTTTTAAGTGTTACGTGATGCTACAGAAAGGAATATTTGGTTCTGGGGCTCTACAGTTGCCATTCTGTGGCAGCGTAAGCAAACCCACGATTTTGCACTCTCCTTCACCCACTGCCCTTCCTGTGCTCTGCATCTTGAAAGGAGTTGTACTTAGGTGATCAGGTGATAGGTCAGTTCAGAAAGCATCTCCAGTTAATAACTCTTTTTTTTCCAGATTAGTTTTTATTTTTTTTCCATTGTTTTAGCTCCCTGAACTGGAGGCAATGCAAGGCAGAGGACAAGAGCGGATGGCGGACAACAGTGGCATGGCAGCCCTAATCTAGATCTGCTTAAGCCACACTTGAACAGCACCTGGGCTTTGATCTGTCTGACACGACTCTGCCATCAGCTTGCTGCAAGTAAAGCAAAGCTAGTTGTTTCCTAGGTAATCAACTTGGAATCCTGTAGGTAAAAAGTGCTGTGTGAAGCTAAATATTATGGGAATAATCCTATTTACTTCAGAAGTGGCTCAAGAGAGTATAGTTTTGCATGTTCGTGCTATAGTAAGAAATAAATGCTGTGCTGGAAATATTCACTGAGGCAAATTATGTGTTTTCAGCCAATAGATCTTTTTAGACCATGAAACTTTAATGACTACCCAGCAAATTTACAGATTCTTATGAAGAAAACCTGGAAGCCAGCAATAAAATGATAGCTTAGTTCTATAGAGCTGTTATTTACAATCCCCTAAACCAGGGTTCAGCCTCTTTAGTTTGCTTGCTTTCAAGTATATTCTAATCTAAATAACACCAATAAATACAGAAATAATTGAGAATTTGGAGAACAAACTTTGGGTTTTTAAATGAGTCTTAAGGTACTTAAATGGTAAGCATCAGTGTTGTGTTCTGAGTGACTTTAACTTCATAATGTAGACACTTACTATCATGAGAGCTTAAATCACCATGTTTTTTAACAACTTAATAAAACCTTATTGAATTACGACAAGCTAAGGCTTACTTCAGTCTTCAGTGGTAACTTCACCAATCATCTCCCTTCTGCTATTCATTTTTATACAACAAAGATTGTAGGTGGAAAGTTAATTACATGGATTTATTGTTCATTTGTAGGCAGCTCAGACAAGGAATAGTTGCTGTTCAAGAGCTGCATGGTTGCCTGGGTCCTGAGTGTCAGAATTTGAAAAATCTAGCCACAGTACTGCTGTTTGGGCTGCCCTGTGCACTTAACTAGCAGTATGGTCACTCTTTATACAGGGATTAGTTTCTCCTTGCTTCTTCCTTTATCTGTGTCTTGTTCCATTAGTGCAGCTTCATAAATGAATGAAGCGCCATTGACCAGTGTGTTTGCATACTTTAGCAACATAAATGAATTTAGAACTAACTTACACTTGCTTCTTTACTAAAGAGTTTGCCATTTTATTTGTGTTTTACACAAATGGAAGTCATGCATTATATCCTTCTACAAACTCTTTTCACCAGTTACCTACTATAAGTCTAAAGACTGAAGAAACTCCCAAATAGCTATTTCAAGGTATAATTAAGAATAAAAGACACACTTTCAACTGTAAGGAGATAAATTTTAATTCATGGTATAACAAAGGAAAACATACAGAAGAATCAAGTTGTGTATGAGATCACAAAGCTCTATTGTGTCTAAATAGTAATAGTTCATTTATTGTACAACGCTCTCATGGGATGAATGTTATGTTGGGTTTGTATGTTTATTGATCTTCTTGCCTCCCTATAAACTGTAACTTCTTGTCCTTCACAGCCTTATCCAAACCTTGCAGTGTCCATAACAGTTTTGCATACCCTCGTGTTGCTTTTTCACTCTTTCTAACCTTCATCATAATTGAAGATATTGAAATGCTGCTTTGCATTGTAATGCTTAGGTATCCCCTGCAAATGTAAGTGGAATTTATTTTCAGCTCTTTTTTTTTTTTTATGGGGAAACCCCAACAAAATTCACAGTTACTGCTCAGTTGTTTTCTGCCCGAGGGCACCTGGTTAAATGCTTCGTTTTAACAATAAAGTTCCTGAGTGCCCAGACTGCCCCAGTCTGAGCAGCTTATCTCTTGCTCAAGACCCACAGTTCTTTTGTTTGATCCTTCTTTTGTTTCATCCCCTTGAGGGAACTAATCTCATAAACACTGATAGCAATCTGGAGAACGCTGAGACAAGTCCTCGCAGTGAGACTTCCAACTTTTCACAAAATACAACTGTGACAGTTTTCTGGCAAAACAGCACAAGAGGATGTATGCTTTTTATATATGGCAAGAACTCCCACTGAAGAGAGAAATCTAGATTTGGTCTCATCTTCAATCTTTGTTCAAATTGATACTGCGCCTTGCAGAAAGCAATCCAACCCCCAAGTTACAGATAGAGGGTGCGTGGCTGAGATGAAGATGCAGACTTGGTGCAGTTGTGGAGGACAGGCATGACCCTTTGTCCATGCAGAAGATGGAATTGCCCTGCCACTTCATCTTGGTCAGTTTTTAAGGCTCTAAGCCCAGTTTTGCCTCAGTTCCGTCAAGAGCTATGGAGCCAGTGCCAAGGATTCAAGCCAGGATGAGCTTACATGTACTGCCCTGCGAGGCTACTGAGGGTAATAAGATGTGTGCATTAGTTAGTGAGAACCGTCAATAGAATTATTTACCTTACCCTGTTTATGTAGTAGGCCCCTCTTCTCTCACCAGGAGGTTCAACTTCCTCCAATTATCTCATTTTCCACAAGGTAAATCTATGGTATGCACACAGGAAGCTACTGCAGTGCAACTGAAGTGCCATAACGTGGGTTTCTGTGCCATATAACTTCAGTGGGATAGATGGCCGCATGCACTGCAGCTGTCACAGGGCTGGCTGTATGTCACAGGGGTTGGCAGTGGAATTTTCTTTACTGCAGCTTTTTTCTTCGCCTCCTGTTGAAGGTGTGTAAAAAGAAAGGAATGAGTCAGGAATAAAAGAGAGGGCGAGCCTTACTTGGTGGTAAGAGCACTGTATTGGGTATTGAACATGAGGGTTTAGTTCTCCTGAAACCAAAATTTGGGAGCCAGAATTTCTTATTCTGGAATACTGTAGCAGCTCAGCATCATTGATTCACTCCTGGTGACTGTGCTCTGCTACAGAAAAAGGGTGGCTCCTGCCTGGAAAGTCAGCGCCTCACTGGCTCTTCCCCACAAGGAAGGTGGTAGGGCTCTGGGTCTGTCTGGGGCTGACAGTGATGCCTGCTTTGCAGCACTCGGGAAAGCACTTGAATTCCTGATGCATCTGTATTTAATGCTTCTTATTGCCAAAGCCACAGACAGCCAGATGTTTAAACTGGTTTTAATGCAAGTCTGAAGTGCCCAGTTCTCTGTAGGCACTGGACTGAGCCTTCTGCCAATGCAGGGTTTTGAGCCTACTGCAAGCGGGACTGGGCTACTCTTAGTTTAGTTGCATAGTTTACATTTATCAAACATAATGCTTGGAATTAAAATGTAATTTGCCTTCCTGCTCAATGTTTTTCACATTTTGCTTGGACTTCTGTGTAATTACCATACATATAGTAATCTAAATAAGAGAAGAACTGGGATGCATCTGGTCATGTGTCCCAAAGAGCACATTCATTCTTCAGATTGTCCACATACGAAGAATGCCGCACTTCCTCACAAAAGAGCATTTCTTAATCCTCAATTTTAAACTATTTTATGAACTACTTTCTGTTGCAAACCTAATGACAGTCTCTAGGGCTATATAAAAGTGTTCTAAGTAAATAAATGTTGGTGTTATATACAGGACTAGTATGTTTAGTCAGTTCGTACATATCTGGCTTTATACTGATTTACATACAAGTGTTGAATCATAGGGGGGAAAATGAAAAAACAATTTATTTGTGTGCTGTCTGTGTTCACTCCCAGGTCTGTATCGTATTCAGTGACTTTGGAAAAATGCAGAATGTTTGCAATCTACTCATTGAAAAGTTAGGAACCTCTGTTACCATCAGCCCACCCCATTTGTACCATACACCAGAAGCCTTGGACACCCTTCGGTAAGTTCTCACTCATGCCACAAATTTGCCACAAATTGTACAGCCTTGGATAACAGTTAATATGAATACATAGAATACATAATTTATCCTCTTTGTAGTGAGAGTGAATCATTTTCTTCATACTTGTGTTCAAAGATTTCAGTATTATTTGTTTCAAACATAACTTAGAAATTAGTGCTGTTTAGCCTAGAAGATACAACTTGTTCTTTTGACGGTGTTCCTGTGCAAAAGGAAAATGTAATAAATGGAAGGATAGCTTCAGAGAGAATATTGGGTCAATAGAATTTGACTTTTGTCGCTACATCCGCACGTGTAGATTTAATTTGTATTTATTTGTGAAGGTACAAGTGTGTTACCAGATGCTGGTAATTTAAAGTACCCTTGCCAATTCCCATTACTCCTAGCTGCTGACATGATCTGAAAAGAACTGTGTCAGGTGCTTGCTCAGCATCAAAACACGCTACTTTGAAGCTGGGAGTCTTGCTATTTTAGGTGTTAACTATTCAAAGTCCTGCTTCTATTGACATCGGAGGAGCAGAGGGAGGTTTAATCTTGGTTTGGGTTTTGCTCTTTAAACAAAAGAATTATGCCTGGTCCAAGAAGCAAGCTCAGCTAGCTGCTGTTCGTGGTTCTAGAGGTGTCAGAGTGTATCTCAAAGGCATCTAGACAGGAACTCAGGCCAGTGCAGTTTGGGAGTATCTGGAGGATACTCCTAAGCTACCCCGCAGAAGCTGGGAGCAGGTGAAGTGCTCACATCTATGCAGTTACAAAAGCTGAGGCTTTAAAAAATAAAATACATGCTTGGCGTGAATACTTGGAATTCAGTTGGACCTGCTTGTCATTGTGCTGCTGCTTCTTCCTCCCAGCCGTCAAGTCTGCGTTGCTGCTGTTGGGAACACCCGACGGAAAGCCCAGGAAGTCTGCCGGCTCTTTGGCCAGTCATTGGGAAAACCTTTATTAATAAAAGAAGAAGAAACAAGAGAATGGGGAGGCCACACTGAGAGTCACCTGCCCAACGCCCCAGATTCACTGACTCTGCAGGAAAGAATCCAGAATGCTACAGCTTATGCTTCTTGTAGAGTGTTTGCTGTGTTTGAGATAAAGGGAAAAGAAAACAGAAGAAACAAGTTGCTCTAGACATTTTCAAACCCTACATATTAATAAATTTTTCATGCTTTTTTAAGTTTGTTGGGTTGGTTGGTTTTTTTTTACTTTATTCTTATGGTAGCAAGTAGAGTTATAAGAGGATATTATGAATGAGGTTGTGTAGTGAGCCCAAGTAGAAGGTTTCTTAACATTCCTGTCCAGATGCAAAAAAGCAGATGAACTTTTCCTTTGCATGTCTCATTTGAAACCAGCACAATGCAGGCTTTGATAGAGAGAGTAGCCAAAGTATTGCAGGATTTACTTAGTAGAGCTCTCCCCAGAAATATTTCAGTTCCTGCTGGCGCTTATTTAGCTCTATCCCCTAAAATTAAGGTTACAATTAATTCTGAAAGTACAGTTCTTAACTATTTAGTTTCTTCCTCTGCCCTTGTAAAAGGGCAAGATACTCCATGTGCAAAACCTTTAGTACTTCCAGCTGAACTAGGGCTATATCAAGACCTTTCCTTCCAAATCTGGAAGGAAACTAATCCCCATCCTGAGTCATGGTAAACTGAACATGCAGTGTGTTCGCTTCTAATGAAATGGATTGTCCAACATAAAACATGCCTAGAAATGTTTTATTTCATTATAGAAATAAAAAAAAAAATACATGTTTTATCTTATTTGCTCCAGTTTAAAAAGGAAATACATTGTCTGGATGTACATTAGACGTACAAACACTTCAGTCATGAGGATAGATCTTTTTCAACCAGGGCTGCATGGTGTATTTTGAGCCATCATATCCACTGAAATAGACTTTCATATCAGGGTGATGCACCTGAGAAAATGTCAAGGTGAATAAGCATCAGAATTAGCAATAAATACAAACATACTTAGAAGAATCATTACAATTACTCCAGTTAACTTTTTGAAGACTCCCAATTAGGTTTTAAATACACAATGTACACAGAGATTCCTTCAGTGGGATTTTCCATGTATCTCAACATGCATCTGTAAAAACCTAAGTTATATCATCAGAACAGTGACTTTCTCTAAGTACTTTACATCTCATGAGATGCTCTGTGCTAGATGTACACCAGCATTGATGTTTTAAAATCAGCACTGTTTCTTACTGAACTAGTTGCCGCTCACGTGCTGCTGGTAGAGCTATTTGTTATTTTTTCGAGCTGGATCAGTCATCCAATCTAATTAGGCAGTGGGAACAGTAGAGAAGCTGGGGAAATGGTGAAGACACACCAAGGCGATGGCCTTAGGTACCACAGTGTCCAACTTGGAGACACAAATGCACAGAGGGCAGTCCAAGTTTCCTGCCTTGTCGTAATGGAGGAAGTCTAAAGTGAGCAAGTTAGAGCTGGAAAGGGTTAAGACAAGTCTAAGCATTGTCTCATCATTCTCAGCTCTTCAGGAAATTGCCTATTAGGCTGCAGGAAAGGCTGAGTGAGGGCAATCCACAGACCTCCTTTTGAACTGGGGTCACAGGCATGACTCACCAGTCGTAATTAATATCAACAAGCCAGCTTTCAAATACCTGACTTTGTGAGCTTGTTACCATCAGTTCTGCTAATCCGTGAGGAGAATTAGCCTGTCATGCAGGTGAATGAAGCAATCTGACAATTTAAATGCTAATTTACTGAACGTTTTAAGGTGAGGTATGTGTTTCTCCCCATGGACTATAGAGGTAACCGAAGTTAGCCAGCTGACTGCCATGATCAACAATGCAGTTTTTGGAAACAGAGTGGTCAGAATCCAGTTTTGAATACTGATGGCACTTATCTGGGACAGCATAGTTCCTGCTCCTAAGTTCAGATATGTTAGCACCTTTTATATTACAATCAGCGGCTAAAACAGAAACAAGGACTGGAACTATGGCTTTTCCCATAAGAAAGAGGTGATGGTGCCATACTGTTCACCACATTGATTTGGGGGATGGGGGTGGTGGTATGTGTGTCCTTTATGTGCAGTGGCACAGTTTCAAGACTTCAGGCCAACCTAACTCATACACTTCCTTTGAGGGGGTTCTTCTGAAAGGCAAAAGATGCCAGTTTGTATCTATCATCTCATCTCCTGTGTTTGACTAGACCAAGCATCTTCTCCTAGAGGAATGGTTCAGCTGCTTGCTGTTATTTCAAATACAGATACTACCACTTTTCACAATTTAAAAGGAGACATGCACAGGAGCACTGGATCCCTTGCAAAAGCTGTTCGTATGTGGCATGAATGTCTGAAGGCAGTTTTCTGAATCACTCTCTGATTAGTGTTAAGAATCAGGTGCACTTGCATAAGCTGGAAATCAAAAGCTACCAGGACTGTGATAGACAAAACCGAATTTTTGGCTCCCAGAGTTTTGCAGTCAAGAAAGGAGACATGACCCAGTCTGGGCAGTAGCTGAGCAGGAGCTCTTTGAAATGCAGATTCTTCAGGGTGGAATTGAGAAAACAACATACTTTGCTAGATCCAGTAGAAAGGATTAAATGACTCATCCAACTTTGTGAAACCCTAAAACAAAAGTCCATGTCTGCACCAGCCTCTGTGTAACAGAAGTCAAGCTGCTACGACACTTACAAAACTAAGCAGTGGGACATTCTGAAGGAGGCAGTAGCTGGGTTTGGTCATTCATCACCTTCCAAAAACACATACTTGAAAGTACAGCAGTAATTTGTTTATCTGCTTTCTCTCTTAGTTTTCACTAACATTACAAAATTGATAGTATCTATTAAGCCAAAGGTCATCCAGCTTTTAAACACACAGGATAATCTACAAGTTGCAACTGAATAAAAAATAAACAGTACCTCCAATCCCATAATAATTGTTATCTCTTCCTCAGGAATGTAAGCTGTAGATTTGCCAAATCCATTTGCTTTGTTAATTAGAATTCGATAGTGAGGAATACCTTTTAGATCCTGTAAAAATAGAAGGAAAATAAATAGCCTCAAGGGGAGATGCTGACTAAAGATTACATTTATATAATCAGTTAACTATTAGTAGGCTTACAGAACCTAAACCCACTCAATATATACATACAGCAAGTTCATTTTCATGATCTTGACAACATCAATTTGGAAGATTAAATATAAAGCCATTAAATCTGTAATTCATGAAGTTCATGCTGTATCTGAAACATTTTTTAAGAGGCAAGATTTTAATTCACTTTTTCTCCCATAGGTCTGGCAAAAAACCTGACTTAGAATATCCCTCTGCTTTTGTATATAGGTCCCATAGCAATTTGTTAGTCACCCTTCTTCCTTCACAAGTAGCAGTAGAGAACACCAGAGGGAACGAGGCAAATTCAGATGGTCTCGGACCCAATCCTGAACAGTGCTCAGAAAGCTTCCATGGATATAGCAAAAACTTGCAGCCAAGAAAAGAAAAGGGTAGTTTACTATTATTTCTATAGTGCCAGGGTCCCACCATGCTCGCTACAGAGTGAAACATTCCTGCCCAAAGTAACCCACAATCTAAACAATAGATGCATACCGACAGGTAATGAGTTTATGAAGCAGTTAGTATTGATCCATGTGACAGGCCGTGGCCTCTGCTCAGCAATTCAGGAAAGAACCGAAAGTCAGAGAAAGTCAAGGAGAACCTGGGCTGAAAGCTTGGCTGATATTTGGAGGGGACTTGTAAGGAGCAGGCTTAGCAGTTGCCTTGCAAAGGTCAGAAGGCATTTTGCACAGCTGATGTGCATAACATGATAGGCAAAGGCAAGTTAAAAAACAAACAAAAAGCACATGCTTAAACCATACGTCATCACTATTGAAATTAAAACAAGAAAGATGAACGCCAGGTCACTGAGAGAACAGAACCAATAAGGAACATAAAAAGAATCAGAATGCCCTTGGGGAAATTCAAGGGTGTTCAGTTGGTGGCGACAATACTGAGGGGAGAAAAGAAGAGAAAAGACAGCAAGGATGCAGGTGTTTTAGAAGCCCAAGATGAGTGGCAGGTGGCTAAAATTACAGTGGGGAAGGAACACAATGCACAGAACAGGACTGAACGTCTGCTTCCAGCTGAACGTGAATTTTCTGCTACAGGCGGTTTCTCATTTTCAGTCCTCTTTGACTTAATGATTAGTGCCTTCCTGCCACTTGAGCAGCATGGCAGCAGCCAACCCACAGAGTATGCAGCACTCTATTATCACACCAGCACTGTCAACAAAGATTTAGCATCTGATTTTCAAATACGACAAGGACTTAGGCTGCAGAATTTCAAAAGCTTCAAGAATTCCAACAAAACCATTTTTAAATAGATTTCCATTCCAATACCCAGATCCCCAACTGCTTTCTAACTGAAACTGATTAAACACAGAGGATTACTTGTGTTTCTTAGGTGCAATGAAGATGTTACCGACTATCGATGATCAGTTAAAAGATTTAACAGCCTCTCAATTTTAGTAATGCACCACAAGAGATCCGTTCAAACATTATTAGGAAAAAATTCTTTGCTATGAGGATGTTGAGACACTGGCCCAGGTTGCCCAGAGAAGCTGTGGCTGCCCCATCCTTGGCAGTGTTCAAGGCCAGGTTGGATGGAGCTTGGAGCAACCTGGTCTAGTGGGATGTGTCCCTGCCCATGGCAGGGGAGTTGGTAAGGGTCCTTTCCAACCCAAACCATTCTGTGATTCTATGATTCAAACCACTGCTTTAAATACAACACTGTATATTAAAAGTGAGTTATTATAGTTTGAGACATGCCAGGTACAACCCTGACCAGTGAAGCTTAACCAATCAGTGACGCAAAAGCAGAGCTCTACTGGGACAGCAACACAGAAGCAGGCGAGGCACCACTCAGCTGCACGGGTGATCTGGGGCCCTTACATATTTCCCGTGAGTTTAGCAGGAAGTCTGTCTGTAACAGTGTTTCTGAGGGGTTTTTTTTTTAACCATAGTTACTCTGTGCATGTATTAATAAAGCAGAAGATTAACACTTTCAAACCTGTTTCACTGGAGGATATTTATGTTGGAGCCATTCTCCTGGAGTGTCAGCTTTCACATCCCATCCAATAATGACTCCAGAATAGCCAAATCTCTTGTGAACTATTACCTGTCCCACACTGAACTGAATATATTCAGGCTTTGG